AAATGCAACAACTTCCGAATCCTATTCATAAGAATCCAAAAATAATAATAATGATAAAAAACCTGTATTATTTAAAAAATATTTTCAACATTTTATGTAGATGTATAAAATTACACATAATACATGTATATAAGAATTTTTTTTTATAGATACAGTGTACACATTTTAATATAATACCTATATATAAAAATTAACTCTATAAGTAATTCCTTTTTTACATAATTAGGTTTTTTTTTCATAACTTCACTAGGTTCCCCAATTCTGTCGATTAAAATATCGTAATACTATACTTTTAATTTCTAAAATATTATCAAGCCCTGAGCCTGATTTACAAATTTTGGGACCAGGTACTTAAATAAAAAGAGGTCTCATACAAAATAATTAATTATCTTATTCAAAAATGTATATTTTATTTTATATAATTACATTGTTTTTTTTTTTTTTTAGGGTCTTTCGATAACAAATCAATGTGTCATCATATGATAATTGTTTTATTATTCGTGTTCTACAGAGTCTGATTATCAAACCTATCTTGAGATAAACATGTTTTCAATCGATTTTTTACACGTTTTAATGATTTTTCGCTGCTATAATTTGTACATGGCATTGTAAAATAGATTTATAACATAGTTTCAATACTGGTAAATGTATATTTTATATTCATCAATTTTAGATATTTAATTTGGTATTGAGGGTCATATATCAGGTCATTACAGGTATTATCATCGCTAAAAAATGGCATTTTTAATTCTTGGAATTTTTGGTACCATTTTGGATTTTAATCATTAAAAAACTGTCTGAAGTTTATAATTTTATCCATATTTTGATCAGGGGATTCATCACAAAAAATTCTTGAAATTCATTTGAGATCTTTAATTGCTATAAAACAATATTTTTCTTCCACTTGTTGTAGTTTATTTCATCATTTCTACAACCTAATGATATTAATAATAACATTTTATAATTTTATTAATAACAACCGAAAAAATATTGTTAGTTTACTTAATTATAATATTTTCAAAAAATCTATTACCTACTATATTTATTATTTTAATGTAAACTATCTCACGAATTATAACAATAATATAAGGCTATTGAATTAACATAATAAAAAATATAGGTAGTTAATTACACTGAAATATATTATTAATTTTTGTTAAATTCAAAATTGTTTTACAAAGCATAATAAACAAATATATATGCAAACAATATAGTATAATATAAAAATTAAGAAAATATTTATAATCTGATCAACATTGAAATCACAAGTAAATAAAACATATTTTTAGTTTTAGACAATTTTGAGCATCTGAAGAATGTATAACAAAAACATTTAACACAAGAATAAACATTAAAAATTATTTGTTAAAACCAATAATGTTAGTGAACAAAGACATGCAACATATTTTCATATTCGTTATAATTTATTTACAATTTTGTATTAAGAAATAAAGACCAAAATTATTCATAATTAACTTGTACACACACCACATTTTTTTTAATTAGTATCCAATTATTTACCTTTTATAAATGAACTTGGATCAACTTTATACTTATCAACACTAATAATATTATTTTATATATGAACCACTTGGTCAATCCAAACTCATTTTGAGTACTAGTACAACTAGTACCAAGGTTTTTAACAATTAAATCTACAAAATGTAAAAATGTTCAATAACAATAATTAAAATTACATGTTACTATTATTTACAAGATTAAATACTTATCAGAGGCACAACATGTTTCCAAATTAATATTTAAATTATTTTCTATTGTTTAATTTATTAAGGTTTCTGATGTTAATAATTTTTTCGTTTCATAATTGTCAAGAGAACCTATTTCAAATTTCAAATTTTTTTTCTTTTGTTATCTATTATTCGAAGTTTTTTGGTACCCCCATACATTTTCTTTTTAATCCAGATATATCTTATACTTGATAAAAGCGTGAAATAGCACTCACAAAGTTATTGCAGAAATATTCTTGTCTATGATTAAAATAACGTTAATAACTGACAATAGATCATGCACTATGCACGTACGAACTTTAATCCCATTTTATTTGAATGTTATCATATAGTTCAATAAATAGAATAGACACTCAAACAACTGATCGATTTGTTTACAATTTTAGTATTTATTGCCTCGATTTTTAACAAAAAACAGAAAAGGATGACGATAATTGTCTAAAACTATAAATTATCTCTAATAGTTTTATTGTTTTTAACTTGATTAATAATTATTTTTGGTAAAATTAATACCTATTTATAGTTTATGTCATACATTATTAAACGTTAATAATTTACGAATTCAATATCATACCTAGATAATATTTAATATTATATAATATTATGCCAACTTTTATCATTCTTTTTTTTTTAAACTGTATGATTCTATAAAAAAAATTATTTAACGTTACATTGAATTAATTACAAAGTTTTAATATTCAAAAATATTACAAACTACCAAAAAATATGAGAGCCGCTCAAAATTGAGGCCGGGTGCTAGTCACCCAGGTAACCCTCTGAATCGGGCACTGATCAAGCCATTTAATCTATTATTGTAACGGGCCACCGGGATTTGTCCCGGTGTCCCGCCAGGCCAGCCCGCCCCTGCTTTAAAATATAAACAATCAATACATTATAAAAACACATAATTTTCTTCAAATGTTTTTATTTCACAATTGTGTTAGATGATTTTAAATTTATTTAATAAAATATTACAATGGTACTTTTCTTGATCATATAGAGGCAAATTTATCTATGACATTATCAAATGAAATTATTTTAACTACATATTTTTCATATTTTGTGAAAAATATTACATAAGTATAGTGTTGAAATTTGCGCCCCTAGTCTATGCCCTCTTGCCCAGTTTTAAATACAGCCCTAATTTTGACTAATGAAGTATTTGTTTTTTACAGTGGCTACTGACCAGTTATAACTGGTTTTATGGTTTAGAAACAAATTGCGTTATGTTACCCATGCCCTCCCTTATAATTACGCTACTGCTAATATTAATAATCTGATGACCTGATGTATACAACTTAAACAATTAATAGGTTATGCATGTAAATATTATTTTAAATAAATTATAATTTAAACATGTTTTAAATTCACACAAAGTTAGTATTGATAATCTGTAGTCATAATTGAGCGGTAGTTGGATTTTTATATTTTACATTTTTGTATTTTTTTTCCAATGTAAGGATTTTTGTAATTTTACGTCGGCTAGGTAAAAAAAACTTTTTTTTATTATTATTATAATACGGGAAATTTATTTTTCTAAAGCTGGCATAACCGATCTCCCGAAATTTACGAGCGCTTCCCCACAGTAAGGCATTTGGCTGCCTTATCATAAAAGAACGTTATCATAGTTTTATAAATTCTTTACATTTGATGAATATAAATTATATTATGTCCTGATGTATATGGTAGGTAGGTAGTAGAGCAAATGAATAGTTGTAATGGAGACTGGAGTTATTAAATATAATTACTTTATTACATATTAATTACTAGAAAAATGTAGTTATTTTTTTACAAGAATGGAATTAAAGGTCTTAACTCTTAATATAGTATATAACCTAATAATACCATATTTTATCATTTTGCTCTTCTCTTTGTAATTTTAGTTTTCTTTTGGCACATCCACTGAGAGGTGCCATTTTAAAATTATTTTAAATATTAAATATATAAGATAAAATGTATAAATACTATACATTTTTTTTTTTTTTTTTTGGGTTTATTGGCTCTTTAAGACAATCCCGTCTCACAACCAAGCTTCCATTCTACTCTATCCAATGCACTATCCAATGACTATAAATTGTACAAATATTAACGCAGGTGACGTTAGCATAAGTGCGGCGTGCGCTGAATGTGAATGTAAGTGCCCAATCGGAGACCATAATATAATTCTATATTTCTATATGAATCAATATGACAATACCCTCGCTCAAAGTATTTTAAAAATAGACATACAAGTATACAGTAGTCACTATCTAGATATGATAAGAACAACTTGACATTGTAGTATAGTACCGGTATTTAGCTATAAGTAGCAATTATTTCATAATCAATCGTTTAAATTTAGTTATAAGTAACATTACTTAGATTATAATTAAAACCCGATGTATTTGGTTTTATTTGCGTCATATTTAGGCAATGTTTAAAATTTGGTAAAAATTAAAAGCAATCATATAATAATGAGCCTCTCTCAATACTTTAGGTGGGCCGGCCTAAGGCCGGACACATATTAGGGTGGGCCAGGCACACCCTGGCCCTCCTTTAGCTACGTGCCTGCCTACCTACCATATACATTAGGACATAATATAATTCATATTCATCAAATGTAAATAACTTATAAAACTATACATTATAAAATACCTAATAGTATATTAATATATACCTTTTAAATCAAAAGAGATCTAGCTCCTACATTCTACATTTTACATTTACATTTACATTTTACAATTTGAAGTTATGATAACGTTCTTTTATGATAAGCCAGCCAAATGCATTACTGCGGGGAAGCGCTCATCGAAATTTGATTTTGGTAATATCTTGCTGTTATCAAAATCGGGAGAACTATACCAGCCCCACAGATATATCTGTGACCACCCCTGAGGAACTACCTGATTCATGGATATCTCTTATCACACGTACTTTGGTACATGAGCTTCTCCGTGTGCCAAAATGACTTCTCGGAAGTTCTATATATTAAAAAGAGCACAAATAACGAATGATAAAAATAACAGTTTTATTCAGTTAGTATAACTGTTAAACAACGAAATATGGCGACGCTTAAACGACGATCCTACGGGAATGAACAATCACATGCGACGCGGTCTAAGGTTGGTTGACGAGAGCGCAACCGATGACCGACGCGTCGCTGTGGCAGTGTTATGGAGGTGGGTAATGCTCATGGATGAAACAAACACCGCTGTAATAATTGGGGTTGAATCCCCCACAGTACCATATCCTTCCCACCAAATATCTTATCACTTATCAGCCGTCTTGAGTATGTTAAAACAGTTCTGTATATGGGCACTATCCATCCAGTAATTTTAAAGAATTTTGACGTAAATACTTTATGTATAATATTTAGGTACATCTAATATGGCTCCCATCAAAAATAAGGTAATATAAAACATATGTATGTTAAAATTCATTAGCATCGTTAGAACTCGGATCGTATAACGCACAAGGCTATTTAGTTGGTTTACTAGAAGCATCAGTAGAATTTAAAATGCATAAAAATTAAGTCTTAATAATTTAAATAATATTTTAGTCAATTAAAAAAAATATAATAACTAAGTTTTACAGGGTCTATGGCATGCTTTTGAATTTGCATAAATATTGGTGACTAACTGTTCTTTATTTGTTCATAGAATAGGGATACTGAAACTTAGCCTGGGTTAGAACATTTATTATTGATGTTAGTGCACTTTTTAAGGAGTTTTATTGTGTGACAAACAATTTTTTTTTCATAATAGTCCATGTAAAATATAGTATAATGATAATATTTCTTGAATACTCTGCATAGTTATTAAAAATAAATCTTATGCTGGAAGAAAAAGTTAATATCAATTGTATAACAATATACAGTTCTTACCTATATGTTAATTCATCTTCCATACACTATCATATCATTTTTTTTTTACATAATATGAAAAAATCTTGACTGTTAATTGTGTTTTGCCCAGTCTTTAAAAATACTATGAATTAGGTGACAAAATATTTGTTGTAAATATTATGTATATATAAATATATGTAAAATATATTATCACACAAAATATTCTTTGGGTGGCATTTATGTTGTCTAGTTTTTTAATTTAAAAAATGCAATGCAGATCTTGATACTCTGATTTACTGCTATTATGATATTAGCAGATACAATTAGATGGCACCTGTGACAATTATATGCTCAATTAAATAAATGATAATATATTGCTTGTATAAAAAATTGAAATATATTAATTACTGAAAATAATTATCTAATAGTTAATTATTGTTACAAGAATTCTTAATTATGATTTACTGATGGTATCTTTAGTATTTTATTGGGGTTCTTATTTTTTTAATAGGGTTTGCTCGCTATGTCAATTTCAATAACCTAGTATTAAAATTATAGCAATTTCTGTATTTAAAATAACTACCTACTTTATGTATTTATTTTTAGAAGTTTAAACCTACTATTAAATAAATTATATCTAACATAAATTAAATGTTACTCTTTAAAATAAAATTGTCTACAAATAGAGTATTGTTAACATTTTAAATGACTTATTCCTGTTTTTTTTATTTAATATAGTTGCATTTAAAATGTCAATGTATAATAAAAATATGTATATATATTTTTTTTTTTTTTTAGGAAGCAATAATACTTGCTATTGATATTGGAAAAAATTCTTCATTACAAGATTTAGATGGAAAAACTTCTCTTGAAAAGTCTCTATTTTGTGCATCTATGATTCTAAAAAGAAAAGTATATCATCTTTATGATTGATAGTACCAATGTTTTAAGTATTTAATAATTTATTGTTTTATAATTTTTAGTTGCTTTCTGAAAGTAAAGATGATTTAGCTTTAATATTATTTGGTTCATCTACAACAAACAATTCATTCTCATCACATGGAAGTTTTTTTCAAAACATAGAAATTGTTTGTAATTTAGGTGTTATAACTTGGGATCTACTTCAGTTTATTAATAATATATCTTCTACTGATGTTGAACATTCTGATTGGCTCAGTACTCTAGTTGTTGCTACAGATATATTAAAAAATGAAAATAAGTATGTTTATTATATATAATATTTTATTTCTTTTTTGCATTACATATACATATTTTTATTTTATTTGTCTTTAATATGTATTGAGTAATATAAATACATTATTTTTAATATTTATTCATTTTTTTTTTTTTTTTTTTTTTTGTAATTTGTGAAGCATAAGATGGTAATTATTATGTACCTATATATAATGCCTATGAAAGTGAAATTAATACATTAATTTAATAAATAAGTTTTATTTTTAGTTCTATAATTTGATTTCCAGAAATGCATTTCTGAATTATATAAAACAATTTTATTTTTAGATCAAAAGTCTTTACTGATCTACAGATTGTTATGTTTTCAAACTGCACTGATGATATCTCACTTGATCAAATAGACAGCCTCATAACTTGTATCCAACATTTAAATATTCGTTTAACTATAATGTAAGTTATTTTTGTGTATTAATTTATGTTATGATTAACCAAAAAATATGTTTTATTTTTTTATATTTAAGTTCAATATTTTTTATACTTCAGTATTATTATTAATTTTGTTAAACTTTAAATATATATATATATATACATATTTTTTTTTAGAGGTAAAGACTTTGATGATATTCTTCTCAATTCAGAGATAGAAAAGTTTTTAACCGAAACAAAAGTAAGATACATTAATCATTATTTAATTATAACCCTATTGTAATATTGTGTATGTATTTTGAGTCTTGTACATATTATATATATATATATACAAAATCATTGAACTCATGAGCTCTCACATAAAGTTGTTCAGTAGGTCCCATTATTTTTCCAAAGAAATAAAAAACAATAACAATATATATATATATATAATATGTATAGAAAAAAATTCAAGTATATATAAACACTTATTTACAATTTTTATAAATTCTAATACTTGCACTTTAAGGTCCTTAGCCAAGAGTTAAAATTATGACACCTTAAAATATTTTATTTAGGGTTGAATCTCCAAATAAATAAAATATAACATGAGTTTTATATATGTATCTGAAATTATAAATTATAGTTTTTATCTCATTCTCGCTACTTTCATATTTTATCAAAACTAATGTCCCTAAAAGATAACATAATACTTTTTAAAGAAAATGTTTTAATCTTTTATATATTTTTTTTAAGGCCACTGCTGTTGATTTTGAATCTGTTATACCTCATTTAAGTCATTATAAATCAAAAGGAGTATCTCCAAGAGCTTGGAATATCCCTTTAGACTTTGGAAATATTTTCAGTATTAAAGTTATAGGTTATAAAAAGGTATTAATTTCATATATGTGTAATCAATAAAATTGCTTAAATAATATATTTTATTAATTTATATTCTATTAATAGTTTATACATTTTAAGTTTTAAAGTGTTAAATTAATTAGATAGATGAAGTTCCAAATACATTTAAGTGGAAATTGTGTAAGAATCATGATACACCAGATTCAATAACTCCATTGGTAAAACATACTTCGTATTACTATGAAGAAAATGATGTCCAAGTAAATATTAATCGTGATAATATAATAGATGGATTTCGTTTTGGTGATACAATTATACCTGTTTCTGGTAAATTATTCACCAAAATAATTTAATTTGTTTTATAATTTAATTTTTTTTTATAGATCTAGATATAAATGCATTTGGATATAAATCTGGCCCTAAAAGCTTACAAGTATTAGGGTTTACAAAAGCTAAAAACATACAAAAATCATTTTTAATGGATGGAGGATCATATATTTTTGAACCAAATGAAGTAATTAAAAACTTTATTTAATATTTTATTTTTTATTTTGTTGCTGTAAATAATAGGCTTTTATATGTTCACATTCTCTGATAAAAAAAAATTTAATATATATATTATGTTTATATACATAAAAGAAGTGCTTATGAAATTATTGAACTTAATATTGTATTTAATCATATGTGTTTATTTGATGTAGGAAGATTATGTTGCTTTTAGTGCCATATTTAAAGCTATGATTGATAGAGAAAAAATTATGATTGTTAGAAAAGTATATATGTCAAACTGTATGCCAAACATAAGTGCAATGTTTCCTCAAACTGAAGATGATAAAAATGTTAGTAAAATTTACATTTAATGTTTTAATTAATAAAATAGGTACTTAAGTATCTAGTGGGATACTTACTAATAGAAGGAACGATATATGGGTATGTGATATATGGGAGATAGATATCCTTGGGGTCTTATTTTTTCTATGTTTATTTTACAATTATTATATAACTTATGTAATTTTTAAAATTACGATAACAGTAAATATTTATCTCAACTAATTCAACTATTACTAAAAATATTTAAATTTTATTAATTAATCAATAAGTAGTTATCTACTAAGAAAAATACACCATTGAGGATGTATTATTAATTAAACCAAAATACTTACACCATTCTATAATAGGTATTTTGATTTTAAAATAATACTTAAGATTACTTAAAAGTTATTATTATTATTATTATAGTTTTAGTTACATTTTTAAATTTAATTTTTATATTTAAATTGTTCTATTTGTTAAAAAAAATACAATAAAATTCAGTTTTTTTTAAACTAAAAAAAGATATTGAGCACAATAGTCATTGTTAGTTTAAACATACTTCATTATTCAATAGCTGATTGAAATTAAAAAATATTTTTACTTTTAATGAATTTTATTTATTTTTACTTATATATTTTTTTTTTAGTTTTTTGTATTAGTTAATCTTCCATATGCTGAAGATGAACATTTGTTTAAATTGTCATCACTGAAATCATTTGAACCAAACAATGATCAAAAAAATGCTGTTCGTAAACTGATAAACGCAATGGATTTAAATAATGACGAGTAAGTAAAATAGTTATATTATTTATTCTTCTTCTTATTAATATTATTTTAGAGATACATTGTTCATGCCAGAAAATACTTATAATCCCGAATTACAATTTATGTATAATTGTATAGCTCAAAAAGCAATAAATAAAGATAAATTATTAACAGATAATGTACCAATGTATATACAGAGTATATTGCAGCCCCCTGAAAAAATTATGGAAAACGCTAAACAACCAATAAGTGATTTAAAAAAAATATTTTCATTTGGAAACAAAATTAGTAACAAGTAAAAATTTAAATATTATAATTGATAGATAAATGTATTAAAAATATTTCAAAATTTGTTTAATAGAAATGTAATAAATGATAGTGTACCTTTAGAACTTGGAAATAATAAAGAAGAAATAAAGACTAAAAAAAAATGTGTTATAACAACATATAGTCCTGTAGAAGATTTTAATAAACTTTTAGAAGAAGGAATTGACCCTAAAATAGGTATATAGTTTAGTGTGTTTGTATTATAATTATTCTTAAAGATTTTGTTGAACTTATAAATATCAAATTAAACATTTCATATAAATTATATTCAACGTCAATTTTCTGATAAATACTTCAATTAATTTAAAAAAATTTTGTAATTATACAAAATAACTATTTATTATTTTTTAGTTTGTCAAACTATGAAGAAGCTGTTGGTGGATTTGATTGAATCTAGTTCTAGTCTAGAGGAGCTTAAAAAAACAGCACCAATATTAAGGGCATTAAGACAATTCTATATTCATAACAATGATGTATATTTTTATAATACATGGATGTATCATGTTAAAGATTCTGTCCTTCTATCTGGTAAAGGAGAAATGTGGTCCCAATTTATGGATAGTGAGTATTCTATAAATTATTATAATTATTAACTATATAATTAAATAAATATGAAGTAACATAAAATGATTACATTGGAATATATTTATAAATATGTTTATTTCATATTTAATTGAATATTTTGTAAATGTATAATTAGTGACCATTGCTATTTAATGCAGCCATACACCAAATTTAATATTTCACTTTTTTACAGTTTGTACTTTCCGTTTTCTTTTTTCTTTTTTTTTTTTACTGAAAATGCAATAATTATATTTATATGCTTATTTTGAATTATGTGATTATCTAATGTTTGTATCAATATTTAGATTTTTATGTAATTTATAGTTATTAAATTTTAGCAATATTTTATTAACTTTTATTTGGTCACAGTTGAAAGGAGTATATATGGACTAGATGATGCAATTATATACTTCTTTTAAAATTAATGAATATAAACATAAAAAATTAAAATTAATGAATCTAAACATAAACTATTCATTTGATTTATGGAAAAAAAGTATATAATGTATTTATGTTAGGTGGAATAGGACTGATTACAAATTATGAAGTAAAAAGTAGTGATGTTTCACTAGAACAATCTCAAAACTTTATGAAACATGAAACAAATGATGAAGACATTATAAAAGATTTCATTATTGATGAAGATGATCTAGTAAGTATTTTGTTTTATTCAGTCTAATTTAAAACCAATATATAATTTACAATAATTTAGTTACTTTTATTAATTTAGTATATTCACAGTTGTTATATTGTTGTATTCACCAATTATAACTAGAAATTATGTATTATATTAAATGTAATTATTAGAGGTTATACTTATTGATTGTTGAGGTTTATTCATTGCTATTTAATATTGAGTGACAAAAAATATCATGTTCTTTAACCTAACCATTTACTCATTAAATTAATAGCATTCATAACTTATAGTCAAAACATTTTTACACAGCTGATTCGTTATCTATAATTAGTTAATTATGTTTGTTTAATTAAATATTCAAACTTTAAAATTTTATATTTTTATATTAAGGCTACCTGGGACTTAAAGGCATTGTATTATAATTTAACTAAGTACTTTTTAGAAATTTGGTGCCACTGTTGTCACATAAAAAACATATAATATCCTTAATTTGACCATGTAATAATTTACTGTGTAATTCGCTTTTTAATTCAGTGAATGAAATGTGCGTGCTTATACACACAGAATACACAAATAAATTTAGTGTATAAAAAATTAATTTTAATTTAATGGTCAACCAAATAATAATTCTCAAACTTAAATTTCTAAATCAAGTGATACCTGTTTATCACAGGTATATTATATATATATTATATCAAGGTTTATAACACTTAATGTTATAGCTCTGAATTCTTATTTTAACATAATTCATTTTATTAGTTTTGTAATTGGAAACTGATAAAAGTAGATCATTACCCTGTGTGCAAAATCTAATCCCGACGATGTAACATAGTAATCACATAAAGATGTGCGACTGTAATGTTTTTTGCGCATGAACATCTCAGAGAATATCTAGGAACGCTTAATGTCCAGAAACAAGAAGTTACTAAATGCGATATTCACAAAAATGCTTTACATGTGAAATCACTTCTTACGTGCAATATTCAATCTTAGCGATGTAACATAGTGGTCCCATTGTGCCATAAGAGGTTTATTTAACTACTCAGAGGCTTCCCAGAGATATCTCTGGGATGCTTAATATCCTAAAATGAGAAGTTACAGACAGTCTATGTTACATCACATTGCAATTTTTATTGACAGTCGTTTGTAATATCATTGTCCGTAAAAAAAAACAAGAAATATAGATTGATAGGTTTAAGATGGTATTTAACACTTGGTGAGATTTGAACGTATTACCCTTAATCTACTAATACCTACGCCTACCTATCGGGACACCCTAATCAGATACATAGTTGTATATAATATGGCGTACTTAAATTCGTGTGATAAGTTAGGTACCTATGCAATTAGTTAGTTAACAATTCACCTACTTATATTTTTTTAGAATAAATTATATGGTTGAAAAGAGAAGTTGTTAATTGAACTTCAGTAACAACTTGAGATTTATTTTCAATAAATTCATGGGATTGTCATTCTTGATATAATATGTAATATAATATTATTACTAATTAATAAAGATGTAGAAAAATAAACAATTTATTTAATTTTCAAATGAATTTGTTTTTCCAAATAAAAAATTGTTTAACAGTATTTTAATTAATATTGCACATAAACATGATTTAATTTACCTACCTACTTTAGATATATGTTTAAGCATGTAGTATAATATATTATACTTGCATAGTCATATAAAGGTAATTAATTTTACCTTTGGACTATGGAATCACTTTTAACGTAGGTAAATGAAATATGTATTCTTTACTTAATACAAGAAATATTTTAACACTTAAATTGGTTCTTATATTATACATAGGTAGAAATATACATTTTATTTGTTACATAATAATTAATAATATACATTTTATATGTATTAACACATTTAAAAAATATATTTTTCATTATTCCTTATAAAACTGATCAATTTACATATTATTCATATAGCTATATAAATTAAAAATTAAAAAATACATTGTAAATAGTTATGAGAACAATATGATAAATAAAATAGTAGCTATACTTGTATTTGCAGATCATAAAGTACCTAGAATAGATAGGTACCTACTTTATTCTATAGAAACACTACCTAATAATTAGACAAGTTTAATCATAATTAAGTTGTAGTCTTTGTAATCTCAGATCTAGCTTTTACCTACAAATTATAAACCAAATGTACCTTCCTAATAAAAGATATAAGTTACCAAAATAATATGAGTGGTTTTAATTATATCACTCTACGTGTAGCAATGCTATGGCAATAAATTTACTTTCATCTAGAGGAACTGTAAAACATTTATGTTTTAATAAATTCAAGTTAATTAGTTGAGGATGAGGTTCAGGGATTGTATGGATAACATTGAACATTTTTATTATAACTGAAGATATTGGATTATCAAAAAAAGATGAATAATTTAGTTTAATTACTTCAATTTTTATTTCACCATTAAAATATTTTATTATTTTATTAATTCTGATTATTTCATCATTATGTAAAATGAAATATTTATCTTTTACGTTTTTAGAACTTACAATAAATTTTTCTAAAATAACTTGTTCATATAAAATTTCTGTTATTGATTCATTTAATATTTTGTTGTACGGTAGTTCATTTTTAAGAATAGGATAACTGGGAGTGATAAAATTAGTTTGAGAATTTACATGTTCGATTATACGATTATATACATCTTGAAGGGGATATTTAAAATTTTTACCAGATTTTTTAATGAATTGTAAGTAATTTTCAAATTTAAATGCACTGAATGAATCTAGGGCACCATGAATCAAAACAAAATCACATATGTGTATTAAACCGTGAACATTATACCCAACATATTCCTCCCCATAATGAGAAGAATATTCGATCACAAATTGTTTCAATAATTCTTTTGCTAAATTATTATAAGTTTGACAAGTTTCAGGAGAAATTAAAACTCTAATGGCACAGCTCAAAAGCATAAAATGTTTATATAATGACTTTTTTAATCGACCTTTTAATACAATAGGTCCTGTATAAAGTAAGAATAATCTAAATTCAGTAGCTTTCCAATATTCTGCTTCTTCTAATGTCCTTGGAACACGTTTAAACTCAGATGGTAAATATGATTTAATAGTATTAAGTTCATCTGAGATACTTTCAACATTTACTAACCTAACAGGTTTTTTACCTTTAGTCCAAAAAACAATTAATCTTTTCATAACACCAAGACAAATATTATGCATATACTCAAGTACTACAGTTGATGTTATATTTATGGGTAACTCTTCTAGTGGGCTTGAATCTTTATGATAATACTCATCGCATTTATTTCTGAATGTTTCATCAGTTCTAAGAGAAGCATCAACATCTAAAAAGGCCATTCGATTATTTAAATAAGTACCTTCTACTGTACATGAATTACATCCATGGTAAGCATTAAAAATTTTTAACATTTAACACAAAACTTTTGGCAGGAGCATCACACACAATTTGAGATAATTCAAATTTAAATAATTTGTTGTTAATAAATAAACCATTGGATAAAATTGTTTTCATTTCTATCATAAATAGATTAAGAAATTCATGGCTAGATGAAGGTTTTTTAAATTTACCATGGTATATTCCAACTGGTATTACAGTGTTAACTAATTTCGGTATGTTTATACAAGACAAAAGTATTGGCCACCAACTTGACTTAGAACTAGATGATGATGGTAGGCCATCAATATTCATACTTAATTTAAATGTAAGATAATTTTCAATATGATGTGAAATAAAAATTTTAGAAATCATAAACTCAATACCAAGATGAATATACGAACCAGGATGAATATTTATGATTTTGTGATCAGCAGTTTTGAGAGTATTAAGCAATGATCTTGTATCTTTAGGAAGTTGTAACCCTTCTGATCTAAGTATTGATAGGAGTGAGTTAACACAATTATGTGAAACATGGTAATCAATCACCCATTTTTGTAACTTTTCATACAGTGAGTTATTCCAATTATTATCGACAGAAGTAGTTTGGTCAAAAATTATGTTACTATTAATTTCATAATCAGTTGTCTGTTGAACTGAAAGAACGGGAATATTAAATGCAGTAGGTTCACTATGACGGGGAGAATCCACTTCTAATGGCAATTGCTCTGGATTTGTAACATTGTGGATACGTTGAGTGATTGAAGACAACCGTTTGGTAACATCATCTTGAACACATCGCAAAAAGTGTCGTTTACTAACAGACTGGATAGGTTTCTTTTTACGTATTACCTTAAAATCAATTTTAATTTAAATAATAAATTAAGTAATAAATTGGAAATATGTGATAATGGATATTTTATTATTTGAGATAACTATGAAGAAAAAATACATTACCAATAAAAAAAAAAAACAATTAAAATATATAAAACTTAGCTATTTTTAAATACACTAAGAAATAGTTCAATTAAGACAACAATATTAATAAGTAATAAGTATGCATTTTAGATATGTCATTAGATTATGTAGGTATATGAAAAAAATTAAAATAAATAAATCTTAAATTTTAATATATGTTACTCCTTGTAACATGTAAATATTTAACAGCAAAAGAAATGAAATAAAACAAGATTATAATGCAAGTTTATTTTGTTCACGTAAGTAGCGCTGCGTACCATGCCGGAACCAATCTTTAACATGAATTTCAAAATTTGATTCAGTCGAGAAAAATATGTTCATAGTGATATCTAAAAATTATAAATAATACATAATATATTTTAACTTTTTTTAAGAAGTTAAACTTAATTAAAACTATAACTTATCTTATGGATCTCAACTATGATTCTTAAAAAATTTGATATCTTTATACTGCATACATATTTTTTTTATTTATATAAATATTATTACTAGTAATTAATACATAAATTAAATCTAATATTATATACCATGAAACATAATAATATATATTCATCATATATTACAATCAAATTCCTATAACATTTAAAAAATTTTAATTTAAGAGTCTTTAATGAATAATTCTATAATTTAAGATTTCTTTAGAATA